TGGTGGCCCGCCGCCGCCGTGTCTTTGCTCGGTCTGCGATACTGGGTGCTCCAGCAAAGTCTTCCAGGTTAATCATTGGAGATTGTGGTGAGCTGATTGGCTTGCTTCCACCTGGTACGTCAGTGAAAGGGTTGAATAAGACAGGCGTTGCAGGTGGGTTTTCCGCGTTCGCAGGCTTTTTCTTCAAAAGTCTTGGTCTCGGCCTCGATGGTTTTTCTACCTGTGTATCGAACACAGATATCGTAGACGGGGCTCCCAAGCTGGGTAGATGTTGGACTACAGGGGAAGAAAATGGGGCTATTGTCGATGGCCCTGCCATGGCGTTTACTGTCGAAAAGGTGGATATATGCGATACTTCCTCGACGGCTCGAGCTAATATGCGTCAGCCATTTATACAGAATGAGGACCCTTCCTGACTCACCGCGCATCCCCTGCTCTGTCTGTGCCGTCGAAATCTGACTCACTCCCTGTCCGCCGTGCGACCCGCCCAAGTTCATGCTGAGTTCTTCTTCCCCCTCACTATCAAACACGAGCTCATCGTTTTCCATCCCCCGATTAGTGTCGTCGCTGGAAGTGTGCTCGTCGTCGTCGTCGTCGTCGCGCGTGGTCGTTGTCGATAAACGAGGCGCGGTCGCGTCTACCTAATCTATCAGGTCACCTGATCGTGTGGCGGTAACTTTCAGGCTCCGACGAAAGGCGCCTATCGGCATTCCCAAACCGACAACGCGTCAGTCACTGCCTGCGACTCCAGTGCCTTCTGCGCATAAATGTGCGATGATCTATTCGAAGTCTGCATTTAGGCCTGCGGCAGATACACATTGGGTAACTATGCCTAAAGCGTACATTCTTCCTCGCGCTCTCAGGAACTATACGATGCAATGGAAGCAAAACGAGATTTCTGTCACCATCTCTGGCAGGATACTCTGGACTTTGGACCTTTAATCAACATCTCTACACCGGTTGCGGAAGCTTAACTTGCCGCTTGTGACAGCTTTTGCGGTTCTCGGAGCAAGAGTGCTCTCATTGGCCTTGGTGATCATCGCTAGTATTGTCCAGTACACACGGAAACTGGTACATTACCTGGGGAAAGCACCAACTCATGGACGGCTTTCTCCTCATTAATGATACGGTCAATGACCATCTTCATTAATTCTGACGGGCCACCAATATGGCTTTCATTCGACCTTATCTGGACAGGATTTATATCTGGCGACCTTTATCACCTCCCCGTTAGCCCGCCTGCAACTGGAATTTCGCCCTCTAACCAGCGCAGAAAGAGCCCAACTTACTGCCGACAGGGGGCTACTGCGCGGATCGAGATCACAACATCGAGAATGTCGAAAGGTGACGAATCCTTCCCTTAGGTACCGATAGCTATTGGTCAAGTCCGCCGGCGCTGGACTGGAGGAGCTTGTCAACAAAACCCCCTTTTTTGGCAGCGCCTGCTTAACTACACTGAACCTTCATAACGGCTGGCTCTCCCACATCGCAAGTGGCTGATAGTGCCATCTCTCCTAATGATGCGTCTCGGAACTCCGAACCGTGTTGCTCGCTGTCTTTCAGTAACTGGACCGCACATCACCTTATGAAACTGCAGAGATGCGCATTGAGGGTTTGACTTATCAGATACAGCTTTCCTGATAGTCATACATCAGTAGGTCAAATAGGGGCTGGAGAGGATTTGTGGCGTGATGCTTACTCCCCCATGTTTCTATGTGTATCTTCGATCTCTCCATGATTTGAATGCTTATAGGCAAATCAAATACACAGTCCGGGGCCACCGTACATGGACTCGAAGGCTGATTTGAATCGCGAACCCATGCCACATATACGGATCCCATTCAATGCGTACGCTTCCTGCCAAACAGCCAGCGCAACTATTTTCGACATCGCACCAAAGCCCTCCGTTCTGATTGGCGGCACTCCTGCCAACTACCCAGCCGCAGGGTAGAACGCTTTAACCACCTTCCGACAGCACGGCCGAAGCGCTTCTCCTCGGAATTCCATGCATTCCAATAAAATGGATTCGTTCCTCAACATCGAGTTAGCGGGCCATCTAATCACTTCGATTACCGCGATGCTGCTCTTTCGAGAATGAGGCCACTGTGGATGGCACAATATGTATTGCGTTTAATGACCAAGAAAGGTAATCTCGTATGGGAGGAATAAAGTAGGTTATCGATGGTGCTACAAGGAGATGAACTGACGAGAACATCCAAGAAAGACATCGGGAGAAGACCCGGCTGAAGCAGGCCATGTTAAGAGCCTGCTGCCCGAGGACGCACATCCAGCATATGGAGGTTGCCTCACGGACATGCAAAGAGAAGGCCAGGCATGAAAGGAGATGTGGGATGGCCGGGCGCGTCGCAAAGAATCGGTCCAGGTGAAAAGCCTAGCCCTGCAATGTTGTCCGGGTTGGTCGATAGAAGCCCGACTGCTAAGGGCCTCGATGGCGAAGTGTGTAACTGTCTTTAGACAATGTCGAATATGAGGCTTCGCACATTCTCTTGGGTGCGGCAATGTTTCTCGGGGATGGCTATCTTCATAGTTCGCTGGCCGAGTAGGTTCGTTGCGCAACATTCCACAGCAGTGATAATCGAACTGCAAGTGACGTCGCTGTGAATTGCATTCAACAGTCATGGGTTGAGAGAAGTTATGCAAATCGTCCGGCAACTTAGGATGCAGCCTATTCATGGAATGAGGAAGGCTGGCAATGGATCCGGTATTTTATCTGTGGTATGTTGGAATCCGGAGACCAAGACTGCCAGCCGAATCCTGGCACCGGAGGATCGCCGAGGTTGATCAACCTTCGGGCGCCTATCCGAGCAACTTGTCCTTCCAGAGGTAAACGAGGGCGACGGTGAGTACGAGGGTGACCGACATGTCGAAGAGTGGAATCCGGGAGAAATAGCTGGGGATGGGTCGGTCGACCCAGAGGTTGTACCACTGCTCACAGACTTCGGCGTGCTGGTTAAGTAGAAAAAGATGAGCTTCCTGGTGACAACATACTACGGGCGGCGAATGACATACCTTTACCCGCTCTGCTTGGATGTCTGTTTTTGATCTAATCCACCTCTCGACGCCCTTGCCGTCCGGATTTCCAAGAACCTCTGAGAGTTCTGCGAGATATTCCCTTGCTGTGGGGGCGAAATATAGCGTAGCTTCCGGTTGTTCTTTGTTACATTCTGATAGATTGGATGGGCTTGATTAGTATCGAAAATCTAAGGCGGCCCGAGTGGAGATAACTTACGGGCTATGGTTGCATAAGGAAATATTGAGTCAGGCGTGCACTGGGATAGCTCTTCAGGGATCCAGCATTCCAACTCTTCCTGAGAGATGAATCTGGGGCGCAACTCAATATTGGCTTCAATCTAGCGAATGTAAACCACTTACTCGTTCTTGACGCAGTTGGAGCAGCACCGGACCCGGCAGACCCAGTAAACATCCTGGACACCGTTCGCCGAGCAGAACTATTTGGGGGATACAGGTCAGCTTCCGTGCGTAGGATGATGATTCACCGAGGGCAAGGATGTGGATCGTCGTCGGGGTGATATCGAGGGGGAAGGAGACGAGATCTGCCATCTCCACGAAGGCATGCCGCAAAGAGGGAAGCGAGATCGACAAAAGAAAGAACACTCACATGGCACGTCTCACCAAAAGCAAGGTTCGCGTACTGAAGCTCATTCATATCGGATGGTGAGGCGGGTAGCCCCCTGACATTGGATAGGACGTATCGCCACAGGAAACGCGTATTTTCGCGTGAGAGGAGTAGATTGCGTAGGGAGTGGTTGGAGCGAGAAAGATTGAGGAGATCAGTTGGCTCAAGATGCATAAATATCTGGGTAGGGTTTGATCATGCTCCCTCGGACGGGATATGTGGAGGCGCCACTAACCTCGTAGACGATGTCAACAGGCATCTCGGTGAGCCTTTCGAGGCAGCCGTCCACAGCAGGGGGCCGCTGTGAGGCCTGTGGTTTTGAAGCTTTAGGGGCAGATGATTGTTGCTGTTCATCGACCTCAGCAGGCGCCGAGTCCGCCTTGTTGGAAGAGGTGAAGATCAAGTCCTGAAGAAAGGTTGGCCAGGCTGACAATTGAGCGTCATCGTCGAGGTAAGGAAGACAAGATACGCCTGGAGCCATTTTGAAGTAGAGGGGGAGGATGAGGTGGTGGTCGGGGGAGGGTCACAGGAGGTGGAACTATATATGTGGTCCGCCCGCTCAGGCTGGGAGATGTGATCTCCAGGATTCACTAAAGTGTGGGAAGTAGTGAAGCAAGAATAGACCACCCAGGGCGTTAATGGCATCCAAGATCCCAAGTTATAGCCATTCTCCATTAGTGCCGCATCATGAGCGATGCTTAGAAGGGGATATGCCCACGGAACGACATAGCAGCTAGTCTAGCTTCGAGAAGATGTTAGTCAAGCACATACTAACAAGTGGTGATCCAAGCATGATGGTGGCAGCCAGGAAAGAGCCTGCATCTTGATGTAGTAATCTCGTCAAGGGTTGCCAAATGCCTGTCCGCAATGGCACCTTTCTTGCGCCGTTATGATTGGGTGGAAACGGGATGGGTAGAAAAGAACTCGAGTCCAGTGGAAAACTATCGTAAGGACCTCCAGTAAAGAGCAATGATCCATGTTATCCGAGGCTTTCCTCACTCTCTGTCACTTCAATGCTTCTCGCAAAAGCAGAGATCAAGTGGGACTCTCCACCATGAGAGTGGGGGTGAACCTAAAACCAGTCGCTCTGACAAGGGAAGCCCGTCTTTGTCTCCTTCCTGAAAGCCTCGAATAGCGTTGCTCTCCAAATCCTGCAGTGAGGGAGATCGCGAGGTGTTAAACAGGCTTCTCTTCAACCCGGGTCGCTGCGATTCGGGGTTGAGTGGGAGCTTGAAGCTGAGCCGTTGCAGGCTATCCGGATAGTCCTGCTACTCGCGAAGAGGTACACTTCTGGAACAGGCTGAGCATACTCTGGAATTTGATTGGTGAGCACCACGTCTGTGCATTGATGGTGTAGTGGTAACATTGGGTCTTCCCATTGTAGGCGTGGCCTAGCGCCGGGTTCGATTCCCGGTCAATGCATTTTTGTACGCAAGGGCTCGTTAATGTTCAGACAAAGAGGGGAAGAGAACCGAGCACGCGTTTCTTCACCATGGAGTTGGAGCGTACCTACCCCGAGGGAGTCGAGAATTCGCGACCATCAATTTCTCCCGCGAACATCGAAGGTAGCTTCCAAAGCCGGATGTAACGCTGCACGCAAGAACCCGGAAGGAATGTCTATCATCAAGCTACTGTGGTTGTAGGACCGGATGGAACACAAAAAGCTATGCGAGTGATTGGAGAGCTCGATCCGTCAATTCAATAACCTGGGGGGATCGACTGTGAGTATCAAGAAGAAGCAGACTACGAAGTGATAGTCCGTACCTGGTTGATATCCGGCCGTTCCCTGGGGTTTGGTTTCAGCGTGGAATCAATGAGACTTCTCAAGCCTTGGGAATAAGCGGATTGAGGGTGCTTATACTGAGCGTTCAGCACCGCCATCGCAATGGAACCGCCCTGTTCCGTGGTTTGCGTATTTTCAAAAGGAGAATGTGAGTAAGCGAGGGCGTAGAGGGTGCAGCCGAGAGACTGTGGGCTAAACGTGAGGATGGACGAATCAACGACGCCGTTGAACATACCCATATGTCCACTTTCTCGTCAATCGTAATTCCTGTTTTCACGTCGAATAGCTCAGGGGCGCGGTAGGCCATGGTGCTCTGCTCAGCAGCAATGTCCTTGGTGCGAAGGTAAGAAGCTAGTGACGCTGTGGTGGCATAGACTAACCTGTTGTAGCAAAGCTTGCTGCCTGTTTTCGATGGGTATTCGCGCCTTCATTGTACTTCCAAAGTCCATGAGGATGGGGGTTGTACCATCGTCAGCCAACATGATGTTTCTGGAGGAACAGAAATCAGGAAGATGCCAACGAAATAGGTGAGGAGGCCATCGAACGAACCCTGGCTTCAGGTCGCGGTGCGCGTATGGAATCACGTCCATAGGTGGCCCATCATGCTGAGGAAGCTCGGAATCCTCGTCCCCTCCATCGAAAACGACGTCATTCATACCGCGCTGTTTGCTCATTAGAGGCACTGATTGGTTATCATACGAGTAGCCTCCTTCTGCGTCGCCTTCTGGCTGAGGGAACCGAGTGTCCTCGTCCTCTTCGCCAGCCGCTTGGCTTGGATTCGGACGACTTTGGTTGCCACGAACTGCGGAACGAGCGGAGGTTGGTCGGTATTCATGCATTGCGCGTACCGCCAGGCACGTTCCACGGAAAAGGCGGAGCATTTCTTGCTCAGAGAAGTGGCGGTTGTTCACTAGGTTGGCGTTTATCGCATCTTGGAGGTTGCCTCTCTATCAAGAATGAGGATATGTGATGCTGGAGCTGGTTTGATGTATCGGACGAACCTTGTACAGGGGAAGGAAGAGATAGACAATCTGGCCTTCACCCTCGGGATCTTGCACTACTGCAGAGTCCTACACAGAGAGTAAGTCCCTTCAATATTTCGAGATTAATTTGCGTACGAGAATGCGGATGATATTTGGGTGCCTAAGCGCCCAGTACGTCAAAAGGTGGACAGATCAGGCAGCCGAGTTTACTTACTTGAACCTGCGATAGGCTTCCACTTCGCGCATTGCTTCCTTGACTCCCTCCGAGCCAGTTGGGCAACGAATCTTCTTGAGCGCGAACTGTCTCTATTGACAGGTGATAAATGAGAGTTCCACATCGCGATCTGGCAGCATGCGCGCACCCCACTATGTTCATCCTGGGCAAGATACACAAAGGAAAATCCTCCTTCCCCTAGCACCTTGATAATCTGGACTGTCAATGAGTCCTATGAGTCCGCAGCTTCCAAGATGATGTTATAACCACTGACACGTCCGACCGTTGATCTTTAGCTTTGGCTGTTGTTGGCAAATGCAAGACGATATAGCCCAGAGTGCATCCTTGGCCTGGTCCCTGAGGCTCTCTAGGGTATGAAGCAGCTGTGGGGGAAGTGACATTGCGCAGTGTGTTGGTAGGAAGTAACAAGTGATGGCTGTGGTTACCGACAGCGCCGACACTGATGAGCGTGAGAAATGTTTTCGCTTGAATTGATGCGCCGCAGTTCTTCCAATCGTCGACCAAAATTCTTCAAAAAGCTACAGAAATTGAGCGTTTCGACTTAAAATTATTGTGAAGGTTGTAAAAAAGGGGCCCAACCGGGAATTGAACCCGGGACCTCTCCCATTGAATCACGTGATGTGACTGGCGGTGCAAAGCCCGAAGGGAAAATCATGCTACTAGACCATTGGGCCATACAGGACTTCTGATATTTGTTTTACATATCAGACAACAGACTTGCACAGCCACAATCACGGAATTTGAGATTTTCTTGAGCGCTTAAGGTTGTCTCTGACTGTCATCTGCCATATGCGCAAGGGTCAACAAACAGGTATTCGGTTACCCGAAAGCTTGCAAGAGCAGATCAATGAAAAAGGTCAGCTTCTTCGTCCACAGCCAGGTAGACCCACTCATGGAGATGCTTAGACAGTGATAACCACCATCGTGGTCCGGGGAAGAGAAAAGTGAACAGGAAAGAACTTCGAAAGCAGGAACGAAGTGCCAAAAAGCAGAGGAAAGCAGAGCACTTTTCTCATACGAAGTTACCTGTGCACAATGTCGAAGAGGCCAGGCCAACAAAACGTGTTGCAGAGGAAAGAGCAGAGTCACTAGTCAGGAAACGTGCTAGGAATGGTCCTGCACCCACCAGCTTGGAAGGGGACTCGAGGGTACCAACCCCATCTTCTATGAAAGAGGTTAAATCCTCGAAGCCGCCTGCACCGTCGAAACCTCTTCGTCTCGAGACCAAAGAGTCGCGCGTGAGACCAGCTGCAGAACCGTTACCGGTCCTTCCAAAGTCGAGGGTAGAAGAGGAAGAAGACCGGTACATTCGCTTTCTCGAGAAGCAACTTGGATATAGCAGAAGTAAAACGAAACAGAAGAGCAGTCCCGAGGAGGAAGATGGGCTTGATGGTGAGTATCGCACCCTTTCTCTCGAGGAAGTAACCTCAATCGCTGTCTGTAGATCTTCTGGACTTTGCAGACAATTTGAACGATTCCCTTGCTGAAGTAAGTGGCTCCTTTTGCGTATCGAGCTGATCGTAAACTTACTCAAACCTCTGCAGACCTTGGGACATGACCCCCTCGGCGACGAAGGCTCAGACACTTATGATGAGGATTTTGACTTGGAGGACGAAGAGGAAGACGAGAGTGACGAGAATCTCCAGGATTTCTACTCGAGTGATGAGAGTGGTTCAGAGGTCGACGATGAAGAGGAAGAATGGGGCGGTATCCCATCAGAAGAGGATAAGAACCTTGTCGAGGGGGGCACCCCAATACCAATCTCACCAATACAATTGCCAGCGCCAGGTACGGGTCAAGTATGGTGGGAATGTCCTTTTTACTCAACCGCGCGCTAGGAAAGGCATACGTGCCGCCACACTTGCGGAAGGCCCAGGACAAACAATCGGAAGCCCAGCTCAAACTTAATCGACAATTAAAAGGTTTATTAAACAGGTGAGTGGCGACATCATATACCGAATTGACAAAGCCCCTTATGTTGCCGAAGGATGTCCGAGCAGAATATTGGGACCATTCTCGACAGCATTGAAGAGATGTATCGTGACAACTCGAGAAACGGTGAGCCACTCCAGTTGTTGCTGCTACTATCACTGTGTCTGACCGGCCAACGCAGACGTCACCTCGAGTCTCACAAACTTGATTGTCGAGGGCGTCTCATCACATTCCGTTCTCCTTGACTCTTACGTGGTTTTGCATGCTGCCTTTGTCTCTGCACTACATAAACTCGTTGGAATCGAATTCGGTTCGTTCCACTTTCCTTTAATGTCACTTCCTTGCTGATAAACGAATCATAGCTGCTCACTTTGTTCAGCAAGTCGTGTCTATTTACGAAAGGCACCGCGCAGAACTAGCACTTCCAACCCTGTCACAAGAAGAAGAGGTTCCAGACCGGGGGAAAGAATGCTCAAATCTTATCGTTCTCCTGTCTGAGCTGTACAACTTCCAGGTTATATCGAGCGTTCTCATGTTCGACGTTATCCGTGACCTATTGAAAGGCGAGATCTCAGAATTCAATGTCGAGCTTCTGCTCAAAGTGTTGCGCAGTGCGTTTCCTCTGGCTTCTACTGACCAACCCAACCGAGCTAATCTTGTTATCAGACTCGGGGCAGCAGCTCAGGACGGATGATCCTCTGGCTCTCAAAGATATTGTCACCGTTGTTCAAGAAAAGGTCTCTGGAAAAGAAGGCTCACTCGGGTATTTCAATTCAACGGTAATCTAAGGAGCCCACTGACACCGGCATCTCTATAGTTCCAGGACAAGGTTCATGATCGAAACCCTAACAAATCTCAAAAATAACAAAGTGAAGAAGCTTGGCGAGCAGAATCAGGGAGGTCCTGCGGTCGATCGAATGAAAAAGTTCCTTTCTGGACTGAACAAGTCCCGACATGGTATTTTGCCTCCATAACTCCCAATGAGCTTCGTTGACAAAGATAATCTAGTTCTGTCACATGAGCCTCTGCGGGTATCTCTCGAAGATCTCCATTCAGCCAACACCAAAGGCAAGTGGTGGCTTGTAGGAGCCGGGTGGGGAGGAGATCCTCTTGTCGATCGTCAGGCGGCTATCGAGCAGCTTGCCGTGGCTCAAAAGTCGGCAAGAGAGGAAGAAAATGACCTCGTGAAATTGGCAAGAAAGCAAGGCATGAATTCGGATATCCGCCGAAGCATCTTCGTGGTTCTCATGAGTAGCGAGGTTCGTTGCCTTGCTTCTGAATAGATGGATGGCATGCTTGAACGTGATGTAGGACTACGTCGACGCATGCGACAGGCTCTCTCAGCTCAACCTGACTGAAGTACAGCAACGGGAGATCATCCGCGTCCTATTGCACTGCTGTGGTAATGTGAATCATCAACTCTGAATCCTTAATTTCCTGCCCATTCTAACGCATTTGCGTGTAGGAAAAATCGTACAACCCGTACTACGCGCTGGTCGCCCAAGAACTATGTCGCAAGTCACACTCGTATAAAATCACGGTTCAATTCTGCCTTTGGGACTTTCTTCGAGACCTCGGCGAGACCAAAGTCGGGGGTGCCGAGCTCGTCAAGAATGCCCGGGACGAAGATGGTTTCGATGTGAAGAACATATCTCGGACACGGATGAACAATGTCGCCCGATGTTACGCGTGGTGGATCGCGAAGGATTCAGTGCAATTGGGAATCCTCAAGGTGTGTTCTAGGATCGACGTCCTTCTGTTTCTTCTCTGGAATCCTGCCCGTAAGCTAACGGACCTTGCCCGAAGCCCGTGGATTTCACCATGCTCAAACCTCGAACGAAGGACTTCCTCAAGGAGCTCTTGGTTCATATTCTGATCAACAGTCAGCTGTCCACTCCTTTCATCACGAGCAACACGGAAAACCTCACGTTGACTAGGCACCGGGGGGCTATCGAGGAGCTGTTCATCAAGGCGACAAGAGCAGACACGGTGGCCATGGGTCTGGTATATTTTATGGCAGAAGCCTTTCGCAATACCGAGGCACTAGAGGATAACTTGTCCAAGTTCCTGGTGTGGGCAGTCGCACTGGCGAAGGAGACACTACAGACGGGACTCGACGTCATCCCGGGCCTGTAACTTCCACTTCTTGAAAATAAAACCCTGCCTCGGCAACGGCGGCCAGTTAGATGCTGGACATTCCTGACGAGAAGAAGGATTCTAGCAAGCTCCATTTAGACAAGTCACAACGTCCAATCTACAGCGGAGTTCTATCCGAGTACTCCTGACTGTTTCAACATGCATAGAAGGATGCCGAAGCAGGAGCGGGTTTATGTTTCTGGTCAGGTCGAGGAGCTGGTGCGGCGCCGGTGGACACGATCGCCCAGTCGGTATATATTTCCAACTTATTGAGACGGCTTCTGTAATGCTACTGTCACGATGCTACTTCCGCTTTGACCTCCGAACGTGAATGTGGGGTGTTGAACACGAGAGCTATAGAAACGAAGTGGATGTCTATCAGCGATGAATCAAGTCAGGAGGGCAGACTAATACAAACTGAAGGGTGAGTCCAGTCTCGTTGCAGAAGCTGCTTTCGAGCTCGGCTTCGGTGAAGTTGCACGCTAGGATGAGTGAGCAAATTTGGTGAACATCTATTTCGATCTTTATTAGTGATGAGGAGCGTCGCGTACATGTGATCAAGAAGATGCCGCCTGGTTTCAGCAACCTGACGACTCGTGAAGGGTAGTGAGCTGCAGGAGAGCGGCCAGCATCGTCTTTGGGTCCCAGTGCAATCGCGTCATACGTGCCCTTGTCCAGTAGAAGATCCCAAACTTCGGTCTGGGAGGCGCATTGGCAGGCTAAGGGGGCCGGTGTATCATTGAGAAAGTCGCACTGAGTGAAGGTGATGCCCGACGCTCCCCGTTGCTCTGCGATACCTTGGGCTAGCTTCACCGCACTGGTGCTGTAGTCAAAGCCGGCCATAAGAGTAGGATCATAGCCTGCTTCGTGAAGACCAAATAGCAATGTCCCGTTACCACTTCCGATTTCGAGGATAGCCGCGTTATCGGATGGTGGTACGTGGTCAAGTGCCCAATCCACCATCTTTTCGACAGAATCTTCACCAAACCTACCGTAGAGGTGCGGTCAGTGACAGTCACCACGACGCGGATAAGCTATTTAGGACGCTTGCCATACTTCGCCTTCGTCACCGATCTCTTCAAAGTTGTTCAGCTCGCGCTCGTAGACATCATCCCAGCTGAATTAGTGTAATTAAAGCCACCAAAACCACAGCCAGGAAGCGGGCGACATACTGCTCTTTCGTCCCAAGCTTCGAAGGCGGAAGTTCTTCTGTGGCCATGATGGAGATAATCCAAGGCGCCAAAAGACGTTTCGCCAGAACTTTTCCATATGCTTAGTCAGCATCCGTCAGGCGTACATCGGTCGAGGCAATGTGAAGAGTATACAGCGGAAGACAGAGGCTCGAAGTACTTCACGGTGGAAGCAAAGGAATGACATTCACTGGGGTATGATATGCGGGATGCACCTGAAGCAAACGGCAAGGGTTGGTCCTTGCGTTAGCACGGTGTCAACCCGATGGCACCCAACTGGAAGGCAACTTGCAGAGGTGGTTGAGAACATGGCTGTCGTTCTGGCTCGATTCCTGTGCGAGTGGTGATATTATAATGCAATGGATATTAGACAAGAACAATGGGGATAGAATAAAGAAACGAAAGCAATCTATTCA